TTCAAGGATGGTTGTGATGAAAATGCATTGGGTGATTTGGATCTCCAATTTGGCCTGAAAATAATAGGCCATAATGCGATTCTGAGCCATCCTTACTTTTTTTAATGCTCAAGCCTATTTTATACGCTCTTTTAAGATAATGGTTTAAAATTTTTTTAATTGATTAAAATAATATTCATTAATTACTAACCCATGTTTTCAGATAGACCATATAAATATGGTATCTATCCAACATTAAGGCTTTGTTTGGTAACAGCGTTTTTGATTAGCGCTAGCGTTTTGGATAAAATTTTAACGGTGCAGATTAATTCTGAAAACGCTAACGCTAAAGGCTACCGTCGGATAGCTTTTTCAAAACGCTAACGCTAATCTCTGACGCTGATGCCAAACTGGGCCTAAGTGTTGTGGCCTATAAACTTAAGGAGTTTTTTCAATAAACCATTTTCCATTTTACATTTTCTTTTGTAGTATAAGGGCGAGTCCATTTTACTTCATATGAATGATTCTGATTTGATTGAAATAAATTCTAATTTAGTTTGTGTTGATCTGAACTAAATACAAATATATTTTTAAAAAATCTGATCTAGTCTAATATGAAGTGAACTGATTCTAATAATAATAAGTAATAAGAATATGGAAATTTACCTAAATAAGATTAAAATATAATGACCTTTTCAATATAGAACCATATGTTTTTATTTACCCATGTAGGATCATTGGTCATTATTTATTAGTCATTATTCAATTCATTAATGACCTTTTCAATATAAAACCATATGTTTTTAGTTATCTATTTTATACACTCTTTTAAAATAATGGTTTAAAATTTTTTAAATTCATTAAAATATTATTCATTAATTACTAACCCATGTTTTCAGATAGACCATAAATATGGTATGTATCCAACATTAAGTGTTGTGGCCTATAAACTTGAGGAGATTATTCAATAAACCATTTTCCATTTTACATTTTCTTTTGTAGTATAAGGGCGAGTCCATTTTACCTCATATGAATGATTGTGATTTGCTTGAAATAAATTCTAATTTAGTTTGTGTTGATTTGAACTGAATACAAATATATTTTTAAAAAATCTGATCTAGTCTAATATGAAGTGAACTGATTCTAATAATAATAAGTAATAAGAATATGGAAATTTACCTAAATAAGATTAAAATATAATGACCTTTTCAATATAGAACCATATGTTTTTATTTACCCATGTGGGATCATTGGTCATTATTTATTAGTCATTATTCAAGTAAATGTCCAGCATCATTGGATATTATTTCTCTCACTAGATATTATTAAGTAGTCATATTTAAGGAATAAAAAAGTTCAAGTCCATACATTAGGAAATGACTTGTGTGTAGTCATATTTAGTGTAAATTTTTCATAAGAATAAATTGAAGAGGACAATTTCTAAGTTTATGGTTCATTAAGTAAAAAAAAACTTTAATGTTTGTATATTTAAGTACAATTTTCTATTGAAATGCTTTCAAAATTTGGCAGGTTTGTTCTTTTTCCTTTTAAAGTAAGTAATTGGAATATTATAGATTTTGAGTATATGAATATAGCCCAATATACAATAGACTTATGAATCATAAAAGACTTTTTGGATTAAAATAATTTCAATGTTATTCTAAAATAAAATACTATTCAAAGTGAGAACTTAAATGCGAAATGGACCGAATACATATCTAAACACTCCAAAAAAAATAAAAGGTTTTGTTCTCCGTCCTTTATTCAAATATCAAAATTGTACATAAAAAAGATTTGGGTACATCTTTACTCTTGATATTAAACACGTCGTACAAGCTAAGACGAACACATTATTTGGAATGGCCCCTACTGCATGTACTCCCTCCGTCCTAAAAAAATTTTCCTACTTTGATTAACGTGCAAAATCCCGTGAATTTTAAAATGATTTTATTTGCAAATTAGTAAGAAAATAACATATAAAAAATTATATTTAAAAAGTACATCGAAAACTCTGCAAAATAAGAGCTGACAAGAATATTTTATTTTATCAAATGATCAATGAAAACACGCAAATAAATAAAAGTTATCGAGAGGCGTAATAATAAACAAGAAAGACTTTTTGGGACGGTGAAGTATATAATAGGGACGAAGGAATTTGCATGGTTTGCATTAACGTACGGCATAAAAATAATAATAATATAACACCAAATGGCATTCACATTCAATGTCTACACGTAATATTTTATTTTCGTGCCCCGTAGTATTTCTATTCAGTTTAGATAAAATAATATTTTGAAAATATTTTATTTAATAAATATAATAAAATTAGTTTTCTATTAATATTTATTATCATTTTTATCTAATTTAAAGTCAAAATTTTTAATTTTGATAAAAAATAGTCAAAAATAGATAAATACTTGACGACAGAGGGAGTATGATTTTATGTGTGACAAGACTTGGGTGACATTATATTATTATTATTGTGTATAATATTTGTTAAAGCTGTGTTGTACCTTGATCATGGTCCACAATGTCTCCATTCATATACATGAACCCACCCATTTGTTCTCTCTAGTTTTATAAAAATTGGTAAACAATGGGATGCGAAAAAATGAAACGGATAAATCTTTTTGGGACAGATGGAGCATTAGTTATTGATACAAAATTAGTTTTATTTGGTTTATTATATCAAATATTTTCAAAATATTATTTTATTTAATTATTATCTTTTTGGGTAAGAATTATCATTTTTTAACAAAACACTGTAGAACTCTCGTGTCATTCCATGATATTGTTAGAAAGTGTCATGAGAAACATTTTCAATTCTACTCTTTTTTCTATCAAGAGTATTTAAAATGGATACATTGACCGTACAGATGACTAAAAGTTTCAAATTTTTAAAAACATTTGCTAGTATTTAATAACACAAAGGATTAAAACATGAAAATACTCACAACTAATGTTGGCCGGTCTCCAATGGAAATTCCAATGGAATTTACAGTGAATAGGACTAAAACACAAGTCATTTCCCAATGTAGGACTTAAACCTTTTTATTCCCTAAATAGGACTTAATAATGTCTAGTGAGAAGAATAATGTCTAATTGATGCTGGACATTTAATTGAATAATGACTAATAGATAATGACCAATGGTCCTACATTAGGTCCTATATTGAGAAAGTCATTATGTTTTAGTCTAATTTAGATAAATTACTCATTTTTGTTTGAAAAGGAAAGTTATATTATTCAAAAGGCTCATTTGATGTGGTCACATTTATGTGAGTTTATATATGGAAAATGCTAGAGTTACAAACATATAATTCACAAACTTGCTTTTTTTGGATTTTAAATTAAAATATCTTTTATTATTTGAGTGCATCTTATTTCTAGGAAAGTGTTAAAAAAACAAGTTTGTGAATTTTGTGAAATGTTTGCTTGTGACTCTAGCATTACTCTTTATATATATATATATATATATATATATATATATATATATATATATATATATATATATATATATATATATATATATCCAGGTGAAGTTTGATAAAATTAGGCTGTCAAAACAATACGGAGTAGTATATATATATATAGTGATTGAGTTGCATTGCATCCAATACATAAATTAAACATGGCACTTGTTACAACCACAAGTCCAAAAGATTTTGTTGCAATGACGGTCTCACTTACAATAACACATGCTATACTAATTACACAACCCCAAAAACTTCCCATGTGCAACTCAATATATATAGCTTTTGAATGCCCATATGCATCCCAACTTTAAATTTTGTATCCAATGAGTGTTCAAAAATATGTGATCCAAAATACCTGTTCACGATCTCAGCAAATGCGATCTGAAAAATTGATATCTGATTCGATATTTTAGCTCTCGGAGATTTTGAATCAGATATCCAAAAAAATTCGGATCGAATATGGAATGACATATTAAGATTTTTGATATCCATGGATATCTGAATTTTATATTTTAAAAAAATTAATATAAAAATAAAGCTTAGACATCTTATTAAGCCCGATTCATTTTCATCATAATAAATATTTAAATCTAAGCTTAATTCACGTTTTTTACTTTAGTTTTTTTGTCTATATTTTATCTGTCAATTATGTTGACATTCTTTTTTAATACATTTATAAAATCATGACTTATGATAACACTATCAAGATAACTATAACATTTAAAATAAAGTTGACTTCAAATTAAAGTCTAATTTATGACCTCTACTATTTTAACAAATAAAAAATCATTCTAAACACTTTTTTAAAATTATTGGAAAAAACAAAAACTAAAAAATATATATATAATTTTTTTCGGATATTCCCTTGATCCGAACCGAAATTTCAGATATCCGAAATTTCAGATCGGACATGGAATAGATATTTACCGATTCTAAAATTTTGGATATCCAAAAAACTGGATTTGATCAGATATATCCGAATGAAATTTTATACCGTAATATTAAATTATGAGTAAATTCTCAAAATGATACTCAATAATACTGTATTTTTCTAAATTAGTCTCTAATATGAACTAATTACCGAGATGGTACTCGTTATTTGGAAATAATGTCCATGTTGCAATGGATTTTGCGACGGAAATATTTCGTCGCAAACGATTTACGTGTGATAATGGAAGCTCCAAATACCGTCGCAAGACCGCTACGATGACTTCTATTCGTCGCAAAACGCCGTCGCAGATATGCCTACAAGAACATTTGGAAACTCTTGTAAACTCCATCGCAACTTCTACGACGGCTGACCACCGTCGTAAATGCGGTCGCAGAGTTGCTACGTCATAGTCGCACGGCCGTTTGCGGCCAAAATACTACGACGGATTGAAAGTGGACGCAAATGCCGTTGCAAAGCATAATTGCGAGAGAAAAGAAGCCATTTGCGACGATTTAGTCCCCCGACTAACGAGGATCAAAACGACGTCAAAACGGCATTAAAACTTATTACTATATTCCTAAAATTTTCATTTGCAATTGGATTTTTTTTCAAATTGTTCCGCGCAAGAATATTTGACTTATAAGTAGTTTATAAGTTAAAGAAGAATTTGCACTAAATATGACTAAAACATAAATCATTTCCCAATGTAGGATTTAAAATATTTTATTCCCTAAATAAAACTTAATAATGTCTAGTGATGGTAGACATTTACTTGAAAAATGACCAATGGTCTTACATTAAGAAATAAAAATATATGGTCCTATATTGAGAAAGTCATTATGTTTAAGTCCTATTTAGGTAAACTCTCGTAAGTTAAAATTTGATTATCAACAATAAACAAATAAACACCAGCACAGAAAAACATCTTCTATATATTTCATCTCGATCTATATCATTTGTAATGTCAATTTTATGTTCCATGATCCAATTACTTCTGTATTTTTCAGTGTGGTTATATTCCATGATTACTAAGTTCTACGTAGTATTTATTTAATCTTTAGAAATCTTGTGTCATACAATGAATTATAACATCAAGAATCAGTGTCAAAAGGTATTAGGGAGTATTTGCAAAAATAAAAAATAAAAAAAAATTAAAAAATTGATGCCTAGCATTAAATAAAAGCTCTTTCCAATTAGACTTGTCTTTCAATTTCAATCCCATAAAAGGGCACCCTCTATTTGTCAAATTCCTCTGAAAAACGTAGCAATCTAATTATTCTTCCACATGATAAAGAAAGAGTGATTTGGCTTTTAAGCCCCAAAGATCCACAATTACGCAGGCAGGGCCTCACTGTTAATCACTCTTTATTTATACTCTCCATCTAAAAAGAAATCATTTTCCAATTAATTAAACTTGGCTTAAATTATTTTAGATTCAATTTATTTAAATTTATAAAATAAAAATATTATAAAAAACTATTACTTTAACTATATGTTTTACCCGAGTATTTTAATAAATGTCTAACAAAATAGGCAAATGTTTTGTATCTCTTAAAAAAGTTACATAAAAATAAAAGTGTTGGAATCTTAAAAAGATAGACATAAATATAAAATATTAAACCTAATAATAGAAAAGGGAAAGTGAGACTTACAAAATGGGACAAGATGATCCATGTTTCATAAACCTTTTCATTAAAATAATGTTGTTTGGTTATGTTAAGCCAAAAGAATAGTTTGGACTTGGAGTTGAGACCATACAAGAACCAATGGAAGCCAAAACTCAATTTCACTTCAATATCATTAGCTAAAATCCAATTACATATGAAAAAGAAACAAATAAATCTATTCTAGCTATAACAGAACAAGAAAAAGAACTATATGAGCTCTTGGTTCCAAACCTACTATGGCATGAACCAATTTCAACACTAGATCATCTTTTTCTAAAGCTTCTTTTGGTAACAAAGTAAGAAGAAAAAATCCATGCTTTTGCCAAAAGTATATGGACAATTTGATAGCCACCAACTATGTGACGTAACAGTCATTGATTAATGACAGACATTAACTCAATCACTATTATGAATTTGTTCGCGACCAAAGCCAATTATGAATTCATTCGCAACCAAAGCCAATCAAGGACAATTGTATAAAACAACTTTAAGCGAGAAATTTTTTCCACATATTTCTTGTATATGGAGCACGTTCTGTGCTCTATCATGAGCATGTGATCTTCTCTCAAACCTATTGTTTGGACTACATATAGAGGATGCTTTGGATTATGGTAGATTTCAAGAAAACTAGAAATACAATATCATGGGACTAAGAGAAATAAGAAACAAACATCACTTAAATCTTAACTTTGCTTAAAGTTACTCTTAGGAGTTTTAGCATCTATTTTGCACATTTGAAGCTATAAACCATAAGCAAAAGATATTTTTCAAACAAAAAATACTCCATTTGGACTAAATAGAAATTCAAAATTCATTTTCAAACACAACCCCAAACACCATCTTAAAATGTAACCATTCAATGACTATCTTAATCCATACTTTCATAGTGACTTGCTACTTTAGCATCTATTTTGCACATTTGAAGGAATTGAAGTTATAAACCATAAAAATACTCCATTTGGACTAAACAGAAGTTCAAAATTTGTTCCCAAAACACCATCTTACAATGTAACCAATCAATCAATGACTATCTTAATCCACACTTTCATAGTGACTTTGCTAGTTTTGATGTTTTTACCATTGAGTCAAAATTGCTCTGAAACCAGTCATTTACAGTGCCATCTCTTGAGCTCTCCATTAATGGAGTCACAAACCCAATCTCCTTCGTCTTCTTGAAGCAGAGCTGAAAAAAGATGGCACCAAACTACTGCGAATGGTTCTTGAACTTGATCTAGAGCTCGACCCACCCAAGCACGAGAAGACATTGAGGAAAACTCTCCTAATAAACCCACCACTCTGTCTAGACACCGTTCCGCTGCTCCCCCATGAAATCCGCCTCGGAGCTCCATTGTTGTTGAACCCGCCGTCCATTTCTGTGTAGACCACGGGGAGCTCTCGCTCCCCGCCGGAAAACCTCCCCACGGCGAACCCACCTCCGGGCAGTCTCCATATTGTCAATCCCACAGTGTCGTCGTCAGCCCCTGTGCGTGGGTTTGGGTCGCCGGAGGTTCTTTGGGTGTCCGCCGGCAGCCGGTGGCGGCAGACGGGGCAGGAATTGCGCAGGGAGAGCCAGGGAAGAATGCAATCGGAGTGGTAGAGATGCTTGCAGGGCATTTCGCGAGCTTCGTTCCCGAGCTCGAAGGCTTCCTTGCAGACGGCGCAATGGGGCTCTGCGGAGACGTGGGATCGGACGATCTCGATCGTCGGGAGTGACTCGATCGCCGATTTCGAAGCCGGCGGGTCGTCGTCTCTGCCCAGACCGTTAGCGTCCATATGGGTCAACTGATCCAGAAGCCTGTCGAAACCCGACCCGAGAAGGAAATCCGATATGCTGGCCGGTAACGGCCGCAACCCTGACCCCGCCCCGTCATCGTAGAACAACTCGAATCCTCCACCGCCACCGCCGTCAACTACGCCACCGTCACCGCCGTCGCCCGACCCGCGGAGCACAATAATAGGGTTGAACAGCGAGCGGTCGCCCCCGTTCCTCCTGCTCCTTCGAACGCGCGGGCTGGAACCGGAACCCGACCCGACGTTCAAATCCGAGGCCAGCGTCGGGAAACGACTCCGGCGCGATTCCGGGAGCAAGGATCTGGTCGAAGCGTCGATTTCCTCGATGAACCCACTGTCGCAATCCGGGCAAGTCACTGAATCCGGGCCCCAAAATCTGACAAACCTGTCGCATCGGTAGCACCAATACGTCGAAGACGCGGACATCTCCGTCCACGGCGAGAATTTCAGGCGAAAATTCAAACCCAATCCTCAGATCTTCAACAACCCCTGAGAAAAAATCGAAGCTCTGGGCCAAATCAACTAATTAGATAGTGAGGGAGACGTAAAGAGAAGTTAACCGGGAAACTGTAGAGAATATTCCGGCGACGGTGAGACGGTGGATTGGGAGAGATTGGGAGAGACGGGTTTGCGACTGGGGGAGAGATTCGGACTTTGGGAGAGGAGTATATGAAAAGGGATGGGAGAGGGAATAAGATTTGAAATGGAGGGTAAATTTGGAATTACAAATAATATGACTACGTAAACATTGGGTGATTAAAGGGCGCGTGTCAATCGAAAAGGTGATTTTTTTTTGTTGTCGACTTTGAATACTTTGCTAAGGATGACATGTAAATTATTTTTTGACCAGAAGGTGCTAATTTGTTTTATTTTTTTTAGAAAAAATGACTGAAAATTCAATTAATAATCTCTTACAAGTGCTTTTTCCTATGTTAAATTTCATAAATAGTCTCTTTTTTCATATTTACTTCTCAATTATTAGATGTGAAATTTACCTAAATAGTATCAAAACATAATAATTTTCTCAATATAAATATCATACATTTTTATTTTTCAATATAGTACCAATGTTCAATGTCCGCTGGTCATTGTTCAAGTAAATGTATATCGCCACTGGACATTGTTCGAGTTTAATGTACATCTTCACTGGACATTATTCTCACCACTAGACATTATTCACGTACTATTTATGAATAAAAAAAGTTTAAGTGCTACATTGAGAAATGACTTATGTTTTATTGTTATTTAGTGCACATTTCACTTATTAGATAACACATACACAAACAAAAGATACTCTCTCCATCTTCATTTTGATTATAAAATGGGAATTACGAGGTAAAATCTCATGGTTTGTTAAATCATTTTATTTACAAAGTGGTAAATCAATAAGATATAAAAATTACATATTAAAAAACTACACCAAAAGTTCTACAAAATTAGAGGCGACAAGAATATGTTATTTTATCAAATAATTAATAAAAACACACAAATAAATAAAAATTATAGAGAAGAGGAAGAAAATAAAATTGTAATCAGAATTAAGGAGGAAGTAATACACTAATGATTCTCAATCTTTCAAAATTATTCAACAATTATTCATTCTTTTGAGTACTGTAATATGTAGAAAAAATATGTGGTCATACTTAGCATGTGTGGTTAAGCTTCATGACTTCTAAACCACATGGCAAACTCATCCGGGCCCATGTGGGTATGATACGAAATCCAAATTGTAGGTAAACTTTTACCGTATAGAATTAAAAAGACTAATTGAGAGAATTTTGATGAGTCAAAATGCTTAAATGAACAGTTTCAAAATTTAAAATTGGACGAATACTGCGGGACGGAAGAAGTAGTTTATTACACATCATTATTATGCATTTATGCGTAGATACCGCAACACTTTGCTATTTTATTCACTCCATCCTTCTACGATTTTTATTCACTCAAACCTTCACCATTATTGTTCAGTCAAACCCTCAACGTCTAATTTCTCAAATGATAAACTCGGGATTGGTCGATGCATGTGTAGTACCTATGACTGCCCCTCCCGCGTTAAAAGACCATGTTTGGAATAGTTTTTAAAACTCAAGCACCACGAAAAAGCTATAGAAAGCACCGGATAAAGCCCAACAAGGGAGGACACTGTTCTAACGTCCAAAATATGCATATATGGGTCGACTATCGTATTGACTTCACGAAGAAAGTGGTAAGTGTCTAAGTCGTTCTTTGTTTACTGTGGGCGGATTTGAAGTTTTTCTGGTATAAATACTCTAATTACACATAAACAAAGTTGGTGGAAAAGCGATATCTACATATCATGATGACCTGGTGGTGGTGCGCGACGTTGAGAAGATGACGAGACTTTCACACATGCAATTCCTCTATTTTCGACTGTAATTTTTGTAGGGATTGCTAGCAAATAGGTGGACTTGTCCTTGATTGTCGCCTGTTATGGCTGAATTTTTATGTGCAACCGTTAGCAGCAAAATCTCCGATCTGGTATGTAATACGTAGTATTAGATCATTAGAGACGACATGTGTAATATCAAATAACTAAGGATAATTTGTGAAACTTACAAAATTTTTGTTTAACATTTACAAACACTGTTGTGCATAGAAGTATTTAACTTCAAGGCAACCAATAAATGATAACAAAATGCTAGAGTCTATCTCATATCGGAAAATTGAAAAGAATATAACAAGTTTATAAGCTCTTGAGTTGAACGAGTTAAATTTTTGGATTCAATATTTTAATGTGGTCCAACCAAGTGTCTCATGAGAAGTCTAGTGATCCTTACCCCAATCCAAAATCCTATCATGGTATCGGAACAAGTTTTGGATAACCTCGTTTGTCAAGATGTTCGTCTAGACGTTCATTCCTAACTGCCATAATCTTCAACCTGGTTGTTTGTGCGAAATGCAAATCCAACGACTTGTGGGCCCGTTAATCTGATTTCTCATCTAAAAGTACGTACGGAGCGACTCGTGGTCCTTTAGATAGTGTCGCTCAAATATATATTTTTCATATTTATTTGAAATTTTTCTTCTGACATCATATCTTTGGGTGTTTGATTTGACAGAATCAAATTTGATTTGATTAATATTTTATTCAAAAGATTCTCATATTAAATTTGTATTATTCAATATAATGATTTATTTCAATGAATCATTCAATCCGTATATTGGATTTATCTATATGAGATTTATTCAGAATCATGATTTTAAACATTAAATAGCTTCAAATTTTGTCCAAGGCCGAACAATAATTTATTTTATTCAGAAACAAATTTGTTTACTTGAATAATAATTCAATAGTACTTTCAGGCTGTGTTTTGTGATGTTACATGGAAATTCATTTGTAAATGATCAACCAATTAGATTCAAAATGACCCGATTATTCATTAGAGAGAGAGTGTTATAGTTTATTTCATATTATAAAATTAAAAAGAATCTATAATAGTTTATAGATTTTGAGTTAAAGTAATTAATCAATTAGATTCCATAATGTCTTATGACCTAATTCAGTGCCTACCACATCCAAAATCTTACCACAAAAATAAGCAAGTGTGAGTGAGTGAGTGTGTGCATGTGTACATTACACATACACAGACAATGTTGTCTATTTTTTTTTTGTATAATGTAAACTTAAAAATCCATAATATGTAAACCATGAAATTTAATCCGATTGTTTTATACAAATATATTAAATAAATCCTCAAATAAAGTGTAATAACAGTATTTACAAGCACTTAAATAGTAACATTTTGGTTTAAAAATATTAAAAAGTTAGATAATTATATAATGCTGGCATTATTTTGAACAAATAAGAAGCATGATGTTTATTACCATGTTTATATAAATAAAAAAAGTCTATTTATCTATTAATTTATTATCTTTTATATTTGTTTATTAGTTATTTTTTATTAATGTATTAATTTGTGGGTATTGCTAAATCCATTCAGACTTTGGCTTAATCCACAACTGTTATTATAAATGGACTAATTTATCCTTACAAGTGTAAAACAAAGAAAAAAATATGGAAATTAATTTAAAGTTAAACTTGTACAAAAAAAACAAAATAGGAACGTAAAAAGATCCGGAACTAGAACCAGAACCACCGATTGTGGAACTAGCGCTGGCACCTTGGGCGACGGTAGGCAATTATGTGGGTAGCCCCAAACGATACCAAAACCCGCGGTTCTGGACTGGAACCGGTCCGGAACCCTACCAAAATGGGGTTTAAACAAAAAAACAAAAATGAGTAAAGAAAGAAAAATGATTTTGACCGGTGAACAGTGTGTTAAGTATCTATCACACTCCGTGTATTGGAGAGAAGAAAACCCTACTGAGGTTCTCGATCTCCACCGTCGATGTCATAATCCAACGGTCCAAGATCTTCCTGCACTCGCGCTCATATCAGTCCACCTCGAACTTCCACAATTCTCCGCGCCTCTCTCTCTCGCAAAACCCTCACTTTTTCGCTCTCAGAATCCATCGCTTTATGGCTCCAACTGATAACGATCGCCGCTTAGTGGCATGATCTCCCCGATTCTGCTCGTTGAATTGGATTGGTTTCTTGAAATCTCATCTTGAAATCGTAATTTTCTGCGGGGAAAAGTGGGATTTCTGCGAGTTCTTTCGAGCTTTTTTTCCCGATGAATTCAATGGATTTCTAGAGCTTGATTATTCAGTTCCGGAAAAGTTTTGTTTTGGCCGTTTGGATTTCTCGTAGTAATTTGTGTGTGTGTGTGTGTATTTGTTTTCCCAATGATCACTGATAGCTATTCGAAGATGTTATCTGAAGTTGGAATGCGATCAATGCTCGCCGGCGGCGGCGATTATGGCGAGGAGCTAGAGTTGCTGGTGAGAGAGCAGAGGCGGCAGGTGGAGGAGGCGAATGATCGTGAGCGAGAGCTCAGTATTTATAGGAGCGGCTCGGCTCCACCTACGGTGGAAGGATCGTTGAGCGCGTTTGGTGGTATTTTAGGCGCCGGAGGGGGTAATTTTAATGGAGTTTCGGAGGAGGAACTGAGGTCTGATCCTGCATACATTTCTTATTACTACTCCAACGTGAATCTAAACCCCCGGCTTCCCCCGCCTCTGTTGTCCAAGGAGGACTGGCGATCTGCACAGCGGCTTCAAGGCGCTGGAGCGAGTAACGGTGGTGGAGGTGGTGGGAGTCAGCTATCACTAGGTGGGATTGGAGACAGGCGTAGGGTAAGTATGGGGGGCGGTGTCGCAGCCCGAGAGAAGTCTTTGTTTTCTGCGCAGATGGGGTTCAGTGGAAAAACTGAAGAAAATGGAACTGAATCCCCCAAGGACTGGGGTTCAAATGGATTGATTGGATTGCCCGGATTAGGTTTGGGAAACAGGCAGAAGAGCATAGCTGAAATGATTCAGGTGAAGGGACATGAGAGTTTTCTAAAATGATAGTCATGCTTTTGGTTGAATGGTTGTGAGCGTTAGAGTTGTTAGCATTTGCATATTAGTCTTTACCCTTTAAGTTAGTTCTGATTTTTTTTGCTAGTTCAGGTTTATTACTCATGTTGCTTTGAACTCTAATGTGATTAAATTATTTTTGAGGCTGGGCGCTAAGATCTTTCAATATCTTTATGTTGCTTTATTGTTCTTATGAAATACAGTTTTCTAGGAAAAGTATTCCAATCTTACCCATTGTACCTGTATATTGCCATACATCTTGTGTGATTTCTTTC